CGTCCGCCGTGTCCCGTCCTTTGAAGGGTGTGAGTGGGGTTGTCCTCCACCCCAAGTAGCCCCCGGCAGGGGGGTGGGGGGGGGAATTTGGGGGTGTTGAAGTCCACACATCTTCAAGCTACCAAGGTTGAGAAACACTGGTCTAGACTTATCCTTAGCTGAAAAAAATGAAAGAGGATTTAAAATAAGAACTACTTTAAAATGCTGTCAAACTTCATAGAGGGTTTCACAAACCAACACAAATCAACAATTCAGTTTTGAAATGGTTCACAGGGAGTCCTTCAATAATTAACATACTTCTGTTTTTAGGCTACAGAACTTAGACACAGAGCTTATACCATACATGCAGTCTAAAATCTGGAACTACAGAACACACAGCTTTTTTGTGATGAAGGGGCAGAATAATCTGATCTATTATTTGGGAGTTCTCTGCTATCATCATCTCCAACAGAACTTCAGCCTTGCTGGGCTCTTGCCAGCAGGACAAAAGCAAGGGAGGTGTGTTCTCCCCCTATCTCCACTCCAGCTAAAATGTCATCCTCTCCATCCGAATGTCATTAACTGATACAGAAGGAGAGCTGGGAAGGTTTGGGACACTGAAGAAATAAGGCATCCTTTTGCTCTTTTCAGACACTCAAAAGGCCTTGAAGTAGATGGAGGATGAGTTCAGATTTCTCTCCCAAGATCAGAGTTATCTCTGTTCCTGGGGGGAGGTTGGGTAGAAGAGTAGATTCCTACAGCTTCTAAGATACCTCCCTTGGGACCACAGGATAGTAGCCTAACACTAATATTTTTGGCAATGAGTTAGCATACCTATTCTTTCCATTTAGAATTAAGTGCTAGTAAACATGCTTCATTTTTTTCTAAGACTTACATGTACTGCTTTCAAATATCAGGAACTGCTTAGTTCATTAATATCTATCAGGTTTGTAAGCTTCAAAATATCATCGCTAAAATGTCCTGTATTAGAACTAGAGTTCCCCCATTTGATTAAAATGAAGCTAGATGATCTCAATTTTTCTGATTTGAGGTTTCACTAAAATCTAATTGGAACAGATGCAGGAGCTGAAGAAGACAGAGATCAACCCTTTCCTGTGATAAGGTTACAGATTATACATGTATGTGTGTATGCACATCCTCTTATTTCTCACCAGGTTATTCTGAGCTGAAAATAGGAAGTGATTCTGTTGGAAAAACAATTGCTATATTAGTGTGTGAGTTCTATTCCTTAACTACTATGTTCTTTGATAGGTAGCCCACATTTGCAAAGCACCATTTGATCCTGCACAATCATGTGATAATGCAAACATATAAACTAGACATTTTATCATCTCAGTTCATCATGCTGAACTATATATACATTCTGCTCACCTGAAGTATTGAAACTAGAGTGACTACACCATAGTATCTAAAAATAAAATAAAGACCATTAGAAGATAACAAACATAGTAAACTACATGCATGTTATAAGAAAAAGAAAAATCCAGGAGATAATAATAAATTGTAGGGTAACCAGTAACAGAGATGACTGGATATACCATATATATTTAAGGATAACCTTTAGTTTAATATGACTCCCTCCCCCACAAAGAAAATAAAACACATGAAAATGCTGCACAATGGCTAGGTTCCCCAACTTGTTATTCTAGAATTGTCAAATCTACTGAGATGGATTGTGGTGGAACAGAAATTGGTCAATCAATTACATAACTAATTCCAACTGAAACCAGATTCTACCCTAATCCCAATAAATACATACATGCAATATGTATATGGGTATACGGGTATATGTATTTACACACTTTCTAGAAGCTATTCTTCAAAAAAAGGTGCTGGATTGGGAATGGCCAGGTGGATCTTAATCAAACTGTGCGTGTCTGCCTTCAAGTCAGTGTTGACTCCCAGTGACTGCCCGGATACGCCCCTGCAGTTTTCTTGGCAAGATTTTGGAAATGGTTTGCCACTGCCTCCTTCCTAGGGCTGAGAGAGTGTGACTGGCCCAGAGTCACCCAGCTGGCTTTGTGCTTAAGGTGGAGCTAGAAATCAGGGTTTCCTGGGTTCTAGCCTGGTGCCTTAACCACTGCACCAAACTGGCTCCCTGTTAATCAACTAATAACCTCTAACTGAAAATTAGCTGCCTATAAAATAAGACACCTTATTAACAAAATTAAATGATACCCATTTGTACAAACCAATCATTCTCATTTACACACAAACCTCTCTCACACAGAAATACACAAGTATATACACAGATGTATGCATGTACAAACATACTTCCCTACCTCATTTCAGCAGAAAAAAGGAAGAAAAAATGAGGTAAGATGTTGGAAAGAGAAGGAAACAGAATGTCAGGAGGACAAACAAGGGAAAGAGGGAAAAAAAATAAGAGAGAGGAGTCCTATTTATACCTTTAAAAAAGGTTAAATTCACCAGGCAAACAGTTGCAGCTGCTCAAAGTATCTTCATCCATGATTTGTAATGCAGGTTTGTAGCCATTTCTGCCTCTTGCTTAACTAAGTGAATATTGGGTGACGCTTCCTCTGCCCCAATTTACAGTATGTGGAAAAAAGCTTTCAGTTAAATAGAGTATCCTATAGTGATTTTGTTAGAAGGATGATTAAAGATGCAACATTAGGGTAAAGAAAGCAGCTTGACGTATGCATTTTTTTAGCTTTGGTCAAAACAGTATCAGATGGATACACAAGAAAAATTCTGCAGCCCTCAAAAACCAATCAGAACCTAATGTAAAGAGGGATGCCAAAAAGAGCACTTGACTGGAATCTGTTGGAAAGTATGCTTTATCATCATTCAGAAAAAGAGTGGATTTCTCTGGGGAACTGCTAGGAGAAAGGGAAATGCAATCCTTTCATCTTTGACCCATCAAGACCACCATTTCCAAGCTGCTAATATACATTATGTTATATGTTATGCTACGTTATGTCATGTCACAATAATGTAATGTAAAGCACAGTTTCAGGTCCACTGTGTGAAAAGAAAAGTTAAATCTCTCCTCTGTATGCTATGGGTCCCCCCTCCAAAACATCAGCCCTCATCTGCCATTATTTTTTTAAATGGACAGGCCTCAGACAATGACTGTTAAAACAAGTCTGACCCCTTTCAAGGCAATATTTATTTTGGCCATAATTTATTGTGCTTTTAAAATGTAATAAAAAGTGAGTAAGAAAGAACCCTAAAAGAAATGGAACTTTTTAAAGTACTAAATGCATTTTCTCTCTCTTTCCTGTAATCAATCCCAGTAGCTTTTTCTTTTTTGCACCTAGCACTTACAAGAGATTTTGCACAGCGATTCGAACCAAATTGAGTTCCACGTCTGCTTCAGCTGATATTTTCTGAACGTGCCGAAATCCATCAATATATGGCAAGATCTAATGTGAGAGAGGATGTATAAGATGAACGTAAGGCTGAATAAAGGTGCATACACTCAAATATAAACAATTTTTTCCCACAAGCTAAACCAGAAAGACAATGATAAGAAGGTGTCTATAAAAGATCAGAATGGTGTTTGAATTCAGTGAAAGGGAGACTTAAGCCCTATCCAGACATTCATTTGCATGTGAACTACAGTTAAGTGGATGGCAGAGACCAGTAAGGCCTGCCGCCCACACTTTACTGGTTGCTTAATTGATCAGGACCGACAAGTAGGACTGTCAGCTTTCAGTTTCCTTTTGTGCAGCAGGACTTGCAGGCTCTCACAGCTTTTATCAGAATGACGAAAGCAGCATTTGAGTGCCACAAGCCCTACCCCCTTTGGGTGTGCAATGTTGCAGTGCGCACAGAAAATGAGTAAGGATTGCACTACAGTACCACAGCGCTGCTTGCTTCACCTTGACGCCCCTCCCCCTTCGATCCTATGCAGACACTGCTCCTTTTGTGCTGAACAGGTGAAGATCTTAGCAAATACATAGTTCTAGGGCAGCAACAGGGGGAGGAGTTGTGTTCATATTCATATCCATATCCACATACTTCATTTGAGTTTAGCTCTCTTCATGTGCACACAAATGACTGCATAGGCTCCAATACATTTCAATTAACCTGACCGTTGATAACAAAAGTAAGATCAGATCAATGGACCATAATTATACAAAAAGCATACTGCATGCCAGATATGGGACAATTAAGCTCTTAAGGACATACATTATTCCCTTGCTGTACTACTATCACCTACTTTATGTGATATTGTGATGAATGCATGTTATTGCCACAGCTTTATGAAAGAAGGGGAACATTCTCAAAAGAGACACAATACAAAATAAGCTTTATAAACATAATCTAATTGTGTCTGGAGCTATTTGTTAGGGTTACATCCTGCCTTTTGTTCAGGACCTCAATGCGATATGCATGATACTCCCTCCTCCCATTTTTCTGCATCCCAACAATCCTGTGGGGTGGACTGGGCCAGAGTGATTGGTCCAAAGCCATCCAGTGAGCTTGGGTGGCTGAGGCTGGGCCTGAACCTGGATCTCCTTGGCGCTAACCCAACACCTTAATCACACTGGGTCTATGACCAGTGTTTAAAGTTCACGGAATCTGCTACCCTTCTTACAGCTCCATTCTGGTGAATAATATTCTGAGTATGTAATTAAGTAAATACAGAGGCATTAAGAACACAGAATTGCAGTCTGAATCTCAAAGCAAGGAAACATTTAGCTGGAACCCCTTTTAACACAGTGGGACAAGCTAACTCTGAATAAATTGGTACACAGTCAAGCTGCCTAGGAGGGAAATTGTTTTCAAGTCAATTTTCAATCCCTCATGAGATTGCTTTGCGGGGGGGGGGGGGGGGCAGGCAAAGTTCTCCCTCCAATGATGATATTATTATGAAATACAAGGGTGGGACTCTATTTCAAGCTAATTTTCTGCACCAACCTGCTGAGTAGTGAGGTCCCATTGAGAATTTAAAAAGTCATCCTTATCTTGGGTGAAGACAGGGACATCATATTCCTGTACAATGGGGGGATCTGGACGTTGCTCAATCACTTTCAGGTGAATGGTGTTTGATTCGTCTATAAAAAGGGGCAACGTTTAACTCATTGCAAGATTATACTATCACAACAGGTCTGCTGGGATTGAAACACGCTGCACAACAGTAATAGACCCTACTTTATAAGGCATAATCCAGTGTTGTCCAAACTTGGCCACTTTAAGATGAGTGAACTTCAACTCCCAGAATTC